CTATTCAACTTTTTCTAACCTTGACCTGTGGTTGAGTCCCTCTGACAAAGATTGGCACAGCCCTTTGGGCTTCACGATACAACCAATCCTTACAAAAGGGAAACACAACCGGTCAGATGCCCAGGTTCAGAAGATCGCTGACAAGCGACAGGCTTACAAGCAGCGTAATGCTGAATACTGGGATTACAAAGACTCATTTATGTATTCATCTGGCAACAGCTGGTACGACAGACAGCAACCACAAGGTAGCTATCACAGATATGGAAGATTCTGGGAAAGGCCACAGCCTGAACGTCCCAGCGAGCCTGAAGGCTCTCCTCCAAGAAGGAGCCAGGCATCATCGTCCTCTTCACAACAAGATCTACCAAGATCGAGATCCAGACCTCAGAGAGCCAGTCTTGTTGACAAGCTCAACATGTCTTTAGAGGAACTGGACACACTTGAGGAACAACAAGAGGAAGAACATTTGATCCGTGAGATGGAGAGTGTTACTGAAGAGCACGAACGAGAAACATCAAATCTGATGTCGGCTCAAAGAGATGAAGACGAACAGGAGGAAGAATCTTCCAGTCGCAGAAGAAGAAGGAAGTCATCGCGACCGCCGTCTGCTCCGAGCAGCAAGGCACTCCGAACAGCTGCCACAGCAGCAGGGTTGTCGAACTGGTTCGGACACCCTAATCAAGGCGGTGCAAAGGGAGAGTCTATCAAGACTGATGAACCTTCACTTCCAAACTCACTAACCAGTGAGCAAGACTTCTCCGTCTTCAGCATCGCGTGGAATGTGTTTCTGCTGCTAATGGGCCTACACTGGATGTGGAAGCAGCTCACCAGGGCTCCCATCAGATGTATGGACCGCCAACAATCAAATGCAAAAGCAGCAGCGAAACGACCACCACCATTTCTCGAACCCGAGAATGAACCACAGACGCGTGAACCTTTAGGACCCAACAGGGTCAATTCTGGAGAAACAACGGATTTGCGACCTGTGTGGCACACTTCCCGAAGCGAAGTCTACCATCTTTCAGACAGCTGTTACCAGCTCAAGCAAGCAAAAGATGTTTCAAGGAAGGTGCTGTGTAAAACCTGCCTCCAGGCAGTACAAGTTGCGGAGATTCGCAGGAACGATCCTTTTCAAAGAGGTGATACACGATCACGTGGCACCGAAAGGGACATTGAACGGTTTCAAACCTATGACGATGCAAGTACTACTCCTCATATGAGGCAATTATTCAGTGATGCATTGCATTCACAAATGGCCGAAGAAGCCATGCAGATTACCTATACATCAATCCCTAAGGGATCCTCGGCAAGAGCCAGAGGTACATCTGCACTCGCAAGTGCCTCATCGTCGTCAGTGCCCAAGGCAATGCCACCAGTGCCTAACAAGGCAAACATGTCACCTCCACCTAAGACTCCTCCGCCAAAGGCGAAAGGAACAGTACCTTCAGATCCTCCGAGACCAAAAGGTCCTACCAGAAGAGGAGGTCAAAATCGGCGCATTCAACGAAAAGCAGCTAGAGAAGCCCATAACAGTGGACTCTGCAACCATGCAGACGCTGCACTTGGCGAAGCCAATCAAGCCAGGCCATTAACACTATGTGCCGAAACATGGCAGTAAGACACGTCAGCTCTATCGATGCAACGGTAGAAGCAGCCGAGCAGTTTACACAACGCGTGCAACAGCACGTAGAAACATATGATGAAGAGGAACCGTGGAGCACGGAGTTTCTACCAGTCGTGGAAGTCCTATTCAGGAACTTGAGCAGCGACGAAACAACTGTCATACATGACAATCATACGGTAACTATGCCTATTGAGAAATATCTCGACCTCCTCAGAATCGCACAATCATTGCGAAACTCTATCCAGAGAGACAAGGAGGAAAGAAAGGATCATCTTGACACCATCCAAGATACTCTATCCAGAGTGGAAATCCTTCTAACAGCACTGAAGGACTCAAAAACAGTCTTCAATCAATTGGTCCATTCCTCACTAGAGATAGAGCGAAGACATAAAAACCTCAAAAATGTCCTTGAGACACTTTTTGACGACCAAAGCTCTGAGGAAGACCAGTCAGAATCTGACCATGAAGAAGTCCTAACTCCTTCTGCAGCACAGTACTGGAACAGCCTTCATGCCCACGCCTTATCTCCCTCAGGAGATGAAAGTGAAAGATCATGGGCGTCCTCAGACGGACAGCTTGAAAGAAGAAGGGCCGAACGGGCAAAGGCTAAGCAGCCACAACCGGCTAAAGCCGAGGCAACTCCAATCAGCTCACAAGCTGCACCAAAGGCCGAGCCAAAGGCGACTACATCCAACCATGGATATGACACTGCAGACGCCGCCTTCACCAGGGCTGAGAACAGATTACTCGGAATCTTTTCAAGTTCCGAAGAAGATCACTCAGACCCGGATGAACCACATCCGAACGTCTATGCTCGAGCCTATGATCCAAACCTGGATCCAAATCTGAGATAAGGAAAATCTCAGAGTTTCACAACAGTGACTCACAAGGCTCTAACAAGAGCACAGTGAAGGGCTGCATAATTCGATAGAAGAACATTACCAGACCTGATCCTGTACAGACGATCTCTCTGACCAATGTGCATGAAAGAGTTCAAAAGGAGTGATTTCAAGAGTGACTTCAACAGTGTACTTCAGTGCTATACCTAGCATAAACAATATGCTGTTTTTATCATGAGTCCAAACTCCGCAACTGTGACAGTGGGCATAATAGTATATGTGTGAATGTGCGGCCATGCTTCCGGTAAAAGAAAATTAGTGTCTGTTTGTTTGCGTAAACCTCTAAAGGGGTAGCTCTAACAGGTACCTACAGCAATGGCTGCATGCTCATACATATACATTCCGCTGCCCATTGGCTCACAGTGGTTTTACCATATTGAGACAAGACAAGCTCTCCTTGCGTAGCAAGACAAAACAACTACTGTCCGTGTGCAGGGCGCTGCCCTTTGATCCTTAGGGAATAAACTGGTCATACACCTCCTAACAAGGAGCATTTCCTTGTGGGTGTATCGGCTCACCCCCCCCTTAGGGAAGACCCCTTTAAGGGGGCTTTAAAGGGGCTTAAAGGGGGGCTTAAAGGGGGCTTAAGCCCCCCTTTGACACTGGTGCCGCGCACTGGGTGGCTGCCGAGGGCACCTCCTTCTCCGATTTCATCGGAACGGTTGGAAGATTTTCCTCTACTAGGGAAGCTGACCACCCAAGCAGAAACTCTGTTCCACATTTTCTCTGACTACCACAACTTGGTGTATTTGTCAACCTTTTCACCACAACAGTGTGTGCTGACCACTGGTGCAGTGGAAATCTGTTTGGTGTCCCACCGGCCCGCTGATCATCGCGTCTCCCTTCCATTGGTGGGGGATCATTAGCTGCTCTGGAACTTCGTGCCATCCTCCATAAAACTCTCATCAGTTGGAATGCTGTGTCAGCATACGGACTGGCGCAGTTTTGGACCTCGGCTCCTGCTGCGTGGTGACAGTGCCACGTCTATGGAATTCTACAAGAGGTGCCGGTCAATTGCATACCGGTCACTCACTGTGGACTGTCCGATTACTCTGTACAGCTGCTTCTGCGCAGTGTGGACTTCGTGCGCAATGGGCCTGACGGGCAGCCTGTAACGCTCTTTTCTGCCTGTAATTGACACCGGGCGTTCCATCATCGGATTGCTGGAGCTCACTGGCCTGCCTCGCATTGGTCTCCATTGCCTCCGAGCTGACAAGGAGAGTGGCCTGCAGCCGCCTAAGAGGGTCCACAGCGCTCTACTCTTCCAGCACAACCGGACCTTAGTTGAGACCACATTCCACTCGATGTGTCTGCGTCAAAGTGCCGCCTTTCGGATGTCCATCGGCGAAAATTGCGGTTGCGGCCTTGCCAGACGCACTCTATTTTACGCTATTGCCTCGGACACCGTCAGTCGGACGCTGCTAGAGCGCTCCAGCGCTTTGTTTCTACTCCAGCTGTTTCCGATTTACGACTACAGGCCTCTACAATCTTAGTGCAACCCTGCAGATGGCGTTCCAGCAAAAGAGGACCATGACTTAACCGCAGAACTCCGTAGATAAAGTTGTGCTGCTTCCACTTCCATTGCTCCCAGTACTATATGGAATGACGCGTTTATGCACTACTAAACGCGGTGGAGCATCCGCTCCGCCTGCTGTCGCCCAGTATTGACGCCGTTGCCAGCAACTACGTTCCGCCAGAGGACGAGAAGAACTTCGAGAAGCAACACAACGCAACTAGAGACTGACAGCAATTGCAGGTCGACGAGGCGACCGTAGCTGAACTTCTCCACTGCTTTCCAGCAAACGGATTGTCTGCCCTTCTCTCACTGCGAACTGCGCTCTCATTCTTCGCCATTGCACGCAAACTGAGGTTTTCCGTGTGTGCCTCCGTTGCTTGCAGTTTCCATTGCGCTGGCGCAATTTTGTGATCCAGTGCTGCGACTGCCGGAAGGGCGTATTTTGACCTCTCGTAGTATTGAGTTGGCGCGCTCTGAGATCTGGTGGTGGTTCCTATTGGATGAGCTAGACGGCCTCAAGCTCTCACTTCCGAGTGCAAAGGAAGGACACAAGTCACCAGTGCGGAACGGGAGCCTTATCCAAATGTCTCTTGCTCCCAAACGAGGCCCTCTACCCACGTCCAAACGCCGTGGCACTGGTACCAGCGTCCGGCGGACTTCGGAGGATGGAGGCTCGAGCATGGACCCGAATCAGGTGCTTAAAGTCGCTCCATACTTCGAGAGCTGACGCATCTTTTCCTGCACTGCGTTCGCAAGTGTCCCAGTAAGCAAAGCTTGCCATATCCAGCTGTTTTAGCCAGTGGCGGAGGGAGTGGTGTGGCGGGATGCTTGAGCGGGCATTGTGCTCCTGTTCGCACCTATGCAGCAGGTGCTCAAAGTCGCTCCATGCTTCGAGGGCTGACGCACCTTTTCAGCTGTTTTAGCCTCCAACCACAAGTTCCACCCATCACAGCCCGAAGACTTAGCCACTGGCAAAACGATAGAACCAGACACTGGTCGGCGTCGCAGAAGCCTGGAGTTGCTCGGCCACGAGCAAAATAAAAGAAAAGTTGTCCAAAAGCGTGAAGACCTTGGCACGGGCAGCCGGCTGCAGAAGGTGCAGGAACTGCAATGAAGAAATCTCCTGGATATAAATCTCCATCGTCCTGCTGTTCAGCCAACGGCCTCTCCGTCTTACCAGCTCCGAGTCTTCAGTCGTATGAAGGAGCCAGGTGGCGCCACCGGCTCGCAGCGAGCCCAAGTCCAGCTTCCGGCCGGCTTGGCCTGTCCAGGAATTGACCCCCAGCCTGTTCACGATGGCATCAAAACGGCTCCGAAAGGTTGATGCCGAGTAAGGCCAGAGGCGGCAGCCTGGATCGAGGTGCCCAAAAGCAAGCCGGACGACCGCCAGGAGATCCGGGTGGTCCAGCTTTGCAGATTGGTGCCTTGCAGCTTTATACCTTGTCTTTGGCTCATTAATCGACAAAAGACAGAAACCATCCGTGTCGAAAACGTCACCGGGAAGCAGGAGGTCAGCCCGGCAAGCTGCAAAGACCTCGCCAATTTTGAGAATGGCGCCCCAAGCCAGTGCCAAGACACCAGCGACTCGAGGCCATCCCCACATCAAAGCGACAGACAGAGAAGCAACCAGCACCTGCCATGGCATAGCAACATGGTGGGAGTGGGGTTCTTCACGTAGCCAGGCAAAAGCCAAATCCCAAGCAGGCTGCAAAAGGCGACGAAGCCCAGGCTCATAGCCCGCTATAGCATTGATAACCTCACTGTAGTGAGAATAAGGCCAGCCCGCTTCAAAAAGCTGTCTGCCATACCGAACAATAAGGTTGTTGAGCTGTTTGGTCGTCTGGGGGCTCAGGTCCAGGAGGTCGGTAAAGCAAAAGCCTTCCCCTGTCAGCCATTCCGTAAAAGCAGCCAGAAGACGGTCGCGCCGCCGTTGAGTGACCTGCTCAACAGGCCTGCCTTCAGCAAGCACCAAAGTAGACCTGGCCCGAGATCTCCTTTCATCTCCAGGGTTCCGCGGGCGCAGTACATGGCTCGGAGTAGCTAGGGACCTAACCCCGAAGTAGCAAAGCAGCAGAACCCTGAAGAAAGGACCCTCGCCAGGAAACCCGAAAGTGGAGTCGAAGGCACGGGGCTTAAGGGGACTTAAGGGGGGGCCGGTGATCCGCAGGCTCGCGTGCACTTAATTCATGCTGAACGACCTTGCCGGCTAAGTCTGTACGTCGCAGCTTCTGTTTCACTTTGTACAGGGGTTAGCTCATTTCTTGCGTTCTTATTGCTTTCTTGCAGTTCTTACTGGGACCGAGTGCAGCAACTGCTGTCTTTGAGGCCCGCCCACGCCAAACAAAAACTCGAGTGTAGGGCTTGGAGCTTCAAGTCGTTGGAAAAAGTGGTGAAACGGCGGCGCTCAGAATGAACAGAACCCACGCTGGAAAGACAATGATTTTGGCAGATATGTGCTTTTACCATGTTCAATTCAATTGTGCTTTGGAGCTTTGGTTGTAAACTTGCCAGTCATGTTTCTTGTCAGAACTTGGAATAACTGCCCAATTTGCGAACAACCCATTGCTTTGTCTGTCTCACCTACCATAGTTAGTTTCGGATTCACCGTAGAAAGTGTTGTTTGACATTCAGGTTTGTTTGGTAGTTTTTTGATTGAATTCCACCACGATTTGTCAGTAAGGATCCTGCTTGCCGTACTTGCAGCGATCGACATTACCCAGGTTTTTTGGCTTGGATGCAGCTCCAAACGCATCGAACGATGGCCACAAACTGCTTTTCCAGGTGACGACGCCTGGTGTGCGTCCTGTCCGTCCTCTCACATCTGGGGGGGGTTAATTCCCTTAACTCCCAGAACTGCGGACTTCTGTTGCAGGCAGGCCCAAGCTCTAGTTCTGATCGAAGCCATGTTCCTTAGGGTCATATGCCGAACACACCGGTAATTACGGTGTGTTCGGCAGTTGCTACAACCCACGTCGCCCAAACCATCCATGGGTGGTCCATGTCATTCACGCAGAGCATCCATGGGTCAACCATGTTAACGTCCACTCAGACCAGATCTCATTGATGCAGAGCATCCATGGGTCAACCAGATTCATGTCCACTCAGACCAAGTTTGCGCAGCACGGTGCTCGCAGAAGTGGCTTTTACTGCAGCGCCATCACCTGTTTTCGCTAAAACGATCGACCTGTCACAGGGATTCTCCGCCTTTCCGCGCAAAACTTTTTAATCACAGTCATAATACACGTTTTCCCGAGGTTTTAGCAGATTGCTTGTTTCAGCTACGCCACAAAACGCCGGTCACGTACCAGGCGTCGTTACCTTTTTCCAATCGATGGATCCCAGCACAGACTTAACATCTCGAGAACCTCACATGACCACAGATAACCCCTTGACAGCCATGCTTATTTCAAGGTATGCGACAAGCCCGGTACATTTCTTAGCCTACGAATTTCCGGACAACGAAGCACCGCAGTTCATGCGATGGTGGGATATGGTATGGGCTAAAGATGCCAAAATGAAGCCATGACGACCACAGCGACACGGAAAGCGTGGATCGTCGTCGCAGTCTTGGGCTGATTGACCTGTTGAGATGCCTTTTGACCTTTTGATCTGTGGCGACATGGTAGATGAAGCCAAGGGTCCATCTTCGTCCAGTTCACCGTCATAGAATGGGAATATGGGTCTCCGGCCCAGATGTTTCAGTGTGTTGTTCCGTGAGCTGAGTCTTATTCTCTCACAAGTTGCAGGCGAGCAGAGCGTGGCGCCGACTGTTCGCAAGCGACCAAGACTGCAAGCTTGCACCTCAGTGTCACAGCCAGCGAAAGCATGGGCCGTGGTTGTGCAGTAGGCTGTTTGGACCTTTGTGAATGATCAATTGTGATGCCACCAGCAACCCGAACATGCAGCAGACAGGGTATGCAGTGAAACGAGTAATGTTGTGCCTTTGCCTGTTGAAGCACCGTTGTTTTTTTTGATGTCGGATCTTGTTTAAGTTTCGTCTGACCCATTGAGACTGCCATACCCCAGTTTCAATATCGGGGGCGGTTCGAGCGGCTCGGGTGTATAGTAGCTTTTGTGACCACTAAACTCGGGTTGGGCCAGGCTCAATCTGGGAATGAGGAAGTTCTGGCCGCCAATGTCAGGGGTGCAATGCCAGCCTTGCAATCCGTCTTTTGGATGGTGAGTGTTGCAGCCTGCCATCTGGCTGTGACGCTTGCAACTGTTAGAAATCATGAGCTTGTTCAAGTTGTCACCTCGTGCAAAACAAGTTGGGTGCGTGTGGCCGAGGATTGTCATTGTCGGGTTGAACAATGCCGGCAAGACCACCATTTTGTACAATCTACATCTTGGCCAGGCACAGTTTGTCGGTTCGTGACAAGGCCGTTTAGATTTTACGTGATAGCTGTGGATCGAGGTTGTTTTGACGCAGCCGACGATTGGAAGCAACGTGTGCTACCCGTTTCGTTTCCGTTCTTCTCGCTTATGTTGCGCTGACCTTCCGAGGTAGAAGAAGTCAAGCACGAAAACTTGACTTTTCAGGTTTGGGATCTTGGTGGACAGGAGCCTGTGAAGCGTGGAGCGAATCTTGTTTTTTTCGCAGAGAGCTGTCGACAGGAGAGTCTGCGAGCCAACTGGTCTACGTATTTCGAGGTGTTGGCCGTGCATTCATATACTACCATGCAGCTTCGCAGAAACATTCGTACTGTGCAGGAGGCTGATGCCATCATATTTGTTGTTGACAGCAACGACCAGGAGCGACAAGGTTTGTTTTCCATTGCTGGAAGAATATGAACACGTCTTCTGGATTCTGGAGGTTCGAAGGTTATTGGAATGAACGCGTCATCATCGTGCGCTGTTCATAGCCATTCTTGGCCAGAACTCTGCGGGTCAGTCACTGGTATCATTTTTGGTATTCAACGCCCGAAGGGAGTGATCATTCCTGAGTACACTCTGTCTTGAAGTTGGCTTGCTCTTTCTGTTTCCTGGTTGTAGGCCTGTAGGCTTCGCCGTGGCCATCACGTTCTTCAGCTTGGCTGTCTGCATTGTGTGAAATGAATTTGGCAACCGCAGCGGCCTCGGCAGCGAGCCTAAACTATGAACGTCACTCTCTTTCTCTCTCTCTCTCTCTCTGTGTTGGTTCGTTGTTCCGACTCCCGCACAGGAAAACATGGTTCTGGCCAAGATGGAGTTGTTCAATGTTGTTCTGCACGAGGAACCCGGCACAATCTCGGACTTCTCGAACATGGAGCCAGTCACGGGTTTCGTGTCGTACATAGTCGTATTTGATAGAAAGCGTCCTCTTGAGGCTGAGGCTTGCTCATTGACAGTTCTGTAGCATTGCAGCAGATTGCGGCTAGCAGCTAGCAAAAGGAAGCAGTTACAGCCTGTGTGCCGGCAACACCCTGTAATGACGCACATTTGAATTTGGATCTCGTCAACAAGAATGCAAAAGCAAGAGCCGCTTGCATGGGAGGATCTGAAACATGCTTGCCTTCTGGTTCTTGCCAACAAGCAGGACGCTGTCTGCTCCAGTGTAGTATTCGCCTTCGCTGTGCCTTGTTGAAATGCCTTTGGAAGGACATCCAGGGCAGCCGCAATGCTGGCCAGATCGCACAAGACCTCTCGCTGCACAAGATCCTCACTCACGAGTGGCAGGTTGAGCCGCGGTTTGTAGAATCAGAGAGAGGCGCTTCATGCTAAGTGGCCTGCTGCAGATTCAAAGTTGCTGTGCCTTGACTGGAGAAGGCCTTCGTGAGGCGCCGCTGTCATCTCGTAAATGCAGTCAGCTTTCCATCCAGTACGTCTTCCAGATGCAGTCTGGTCCGAATGAGTAGATAGCACTACTGTACGTGCTTGCGAGAACTTGAGAAACCCTGATCTCTACTTCGGGAGCTGTCCCGGGTGTGGCTGAGACCTATGATCCAATGGCTGAGCAAACACAGCATTCTACAACATCCTCGAGTTATGAATCACACCAGTCGATCCGTGTCGGCAATCAATCCCTTAGCTTCGGAACGAATCATTGCATGAGAGGGTTGTCACAGTTGATAAATTTCATGCGTTTGTTTAAGACACCTCTCTGCTTGTGGTTTCTCTTTGCCAGCACTTCTTTATGGACAACCTTTCTAGTGCACTTGCATTGTCAATGCTTCGCATGTTGCGGAAGTCGCATCTGGCAGCAAGTCCGCAGATGCTTGGCAGGGAATGAGCTGGATTGCTGGCCGGATCCGAGCATGGGGCTTAGTTGTGGTGCTAGTAAGCCAAGCGAAAAACATGTCGGTACGTCCAGCTATGCTACCTGAAGGCACATCGCAGCGGAGAGGTGTCTGCACCACGTTCACAGCAAACTGTGAGCTAGAAAGCCGCTGACCTGCACTGGAACATCAATGCTTGTCTTCTGTTCGTCGTGTATCGCTTCAAGCACCGCACGTGAGTGATCGTCATTCAAGGCAGCCGCCGTTCGACTGCGATCTTTCAAGCCAAGTGCAGCGTTAATGCTCATCGTTTCCACCGGCCTCAGCTTTAGAGGAAAAAAAGCTTCGTCGCAGAGACATCTCCCAGAGACAATCCTTGCACAGGGACCGGCTTTTCCCATGTGCCGGTGTAGGTTCGAGGCGGCTCTTACAGCCTGTGAGAGCAGCTTCTGGAATGTGTTCATGTCGATGGGCTTCATTCGGTTTCCAATCGAAGCTGCGTTCATCGCTGAAGCCACAGCTGCCCATGCAGCAGAGATTTCCCGTTCCTCAGTGTTGTGGCACCCAGCGTTGGACGGCCACTAGGTACTTGGAATGTCGCTGTTGCCGCTGTTGTTGCTAACTGCAATACTACGGCCGGCAAGTTCTGGTTCTGGTCAGGTCCCACCCGTATGATCGCATTTCACTTGTTTCCTTTGGTCTGTTTGCTTTTGAACAGTACTTTTGTAGATTGCACCGTCGTGGACTTCAGACGACGAGGAGGAGGAGGACAAGCAATACAAACAGGAAGAGGAGAGGCGACTGTTTCTCATTTTCCTGCAATCGCGAAGCCTACGGCTACCCTTACCTCTAGGACTCTAGGACTTATCCGAGTATTCTCGAAGCTTTCGTCGCCTTCGCAGCGTTTGGGGCATTCCATCGTCGATGGAAGCTGACATCTAACCCTTACACCAGGCTAGCAGCAGCCACTGCAACCAACCCGCATGCATAGGATAGAGGGGCTAGGGATGCAATTGCCTCCAATGACTCCGGGTGTCTTTGATTCGAAGCGCTTACCTGCAAGTTTCAGCACCCGCCGATGCGGAGAGACGTGGTTTTTGAGGGTTGCCAAAACCATGCGCATAGACCGCTCGGATGAACGCATGCAGCGTGGATTTGCGGCAGCGAGAAGACCGGCCTGGGCCTTGCACAGCCTTGCGACAGATGAGATACGGAAGAGATTGCATGACTGGGGTCGACTGAGGTCAGATCGCGTTGAGGCATCCCTTCATCCTTGCATGGTGTATTTCGCGTCCTGAGTTGTTCAGGGCTTGTCCCAACCTTCATCTTCCAGGCAACCATGATAAACTGGTCAAGCGATGTGCTTTGAAAAGGCAGCGCATCATGTTGTACAGCTACAGGTCATCTGACTCGAACTACTTAGACCAGGCACGGGACACAGAGACAGGCTGCGAAGTGAAACGTGCCCCGAGCTTGAGCAGGAATCGAAGGGGCGTCGACCGATCCGCCCGCCACGCCCGGCCCTTCTAGGTCGTGCCCCCGAGGACCACCGCTGAGAACAGATGCGTGATCAGGCGTTTCGCTTGTCAGACTCAGAGAGGCTTCCGCCTACTCCCTTGCAGGAGCCGCGCCACCCAGGAAGCTTGCGGGCTGACATCGCGGAGGCTTTTCTCAGGCATGTGCCATAGTCGTTTTTAAAGATCTCCTTCTGAGGAGCATGTTTCAATAAGCCTGCGTCGCAGCCCAAATATTCAACGCTTCCAGCATCGCTGGGACACCGACAGAGTTGAGCAGAGGCGGGAGCTCGGCCACTGGAAGCAAAGCTCCGAAGGACGGACCTGCTCTGAGCTCATGCACCGAAGTTCCAAGAAGCTTTGGGGTTGATACCGGTGAGGCGCCATTGTGATCACCTCAGTTGTGGATGGACGCTCCCCCATGACAATGCTGTCGGTCAAGTGACCAGCAAATCGCAAGGCAGCCGGAAATTTGGGGCAAGCGCCAGGCAGGTTGGCCCACTCATACTACATCTTGCTGCATCTGCACAAACCCGCAACATGTTTTGTCACCAGGCAGACTCGAGAGCCAAGGGAGTCGTGGGAGCGCTGAGCAATGTCGTGCAAGAGCAGTTGCAGATGAAGCGCCCTGTGATCTGGCCATGCAACATTTGCCACGGTTGCGGGTTTGAGCTCGTTGATTGCAGGTCCGTTTGGATGGTTTTTTTAAGCCAGCAGCCCGCTGTGGCTTCGATCACTTGTGTAATCGATGCTGTGACGTGTTGCCTACCGCAAGCTTTGGACATGTTGCTTTGATGCCTTTGCCAAAACACAAAGATAGCTCTGAGCTGTTTCGCAGGCCTATGCATTTGTTTGGCTTGTGGGTTTGTTTTTGTAACGTTTTGTTTTTGATTTAACGCTTCGGCCAACAACCAAAACAGTTTTTCGAGTGTATCCTATCGTAGCATGAACTGTTCGTTTACAGCTGACAGCATGCGATGATCAGTGTCGGCTTATGCCTAGCGGCGGAGCTTGCACCCACTATACCCAGAGCATAGAACGATAAGATCTCATCTATACTCACGCAAGGCACTGTGTGACGATACGTGTAAGGTGTGGCAGTATGTGTGTTGCTGCCGAAGGAAGCGTGGAATCATATCACATGCGTACCTGCATTCATACGTGCATAGAAGATGGTTGCACTTAGAGCAGCATACAGCTTGGCAAGACACAGCATAACATATGCTAGCACAGAACCAAGTGGAGCAGGTCTTGATATGCCAAAGTATACATTTTATATCGCACGGCAACAGCACCTCATGGCTGGATGCAGGAGTTCGTGCAAGATGATCACAGGTGCACCCTTACAGAGCCAGTTATCTTTCGTCCAGTAGTACGACTGCAGGCTTTCATGTTCCGCAGTGAAACGATTTCGCGGATATTTTCCTTGCCGCTATTGTTGCAGCTAGCCACCTAGCCTGACCCGTTGGGTGCTGCGGTAGTTTGGAAGGATCAAAGCATCTTAACCGCGCAGAGCAGCAGTTGGTGCTACACTGCAACGGGTATCGTTCGCAGCTAGCACCACAACGCCTATCGCGATCGTAGACCTTTTGCTTCCTGCACATCCTCCAGCATGAAGGTTGTGAAACAGCAATGGTATGATTGGCTAGTAAGAGTATGCAACAGCCAAAGATATTGGCAATCAACAGGACATGCACATATGTGTCAACCCCTATCGAAACTGCATCGGAAAAATCGTGGAAGAGTGTCCTTTCTTGAAGCGCCTTGGGACTTGCTCGGCACCGAGGCATGTGATCGAGTCAGGTGTCGTGTCACGACCTGTTCAGGTGGATAAAACCTGTGGCTATCTCTTTTCATCCCCTGTGGCCATTATATCTTATTTTTTGGTGGGGGGGGGCGGGGTGCTTGAGGGGGGTTTAGGCAGGGCAGGAGCTGGGGCGGGCTGGCTGGCCTTGGAGATGGCACTGGCACTAGCGCTAAGGCCGCCACTAATAATAATACTACTACTACTGCTACGACGACTACCACTGCTACTACTCTTAATACTCTTAATACTCTTAATACTCGTACTCGTACTCGTACTTGTACTACTACTATTTTCAATTGAACGCTGCGCGAGCGTGCTCTGCGCTTTGCGGGCGCCTTTGGTCCCGTGCACTCGTGAAACTGGTTATCTGCTAGCATTCATCGCTCATATTCCTCTCAGACTGCTCAGTTGAGTAAGACTTTACATCTATGGCTTCCTCCTCCGCCACCTTGTTGTGAACAGACGCGTCCGTCTGCGCACCTGTCCCAGCAATTAGGTCGTACTTCGGGCGAAGCCGGCGCCTAGAGTATCCGTCTTGTGGCGTCCCACACGGATTACTCATGCTGGAGACAGAAGGCCGTAAGGGTCACATGTGCGTACCTGCAGAGCTGAGTGAGTCAAACAGCTGACAGCTGACTGACCATATCGGCTCAGGCGAAGTGCATTGTCCTGCATTTTGCAGTGGCTAGCGCGCTGCTCTACAGCTCCCGAAGAGATTTGCAAAAGCGTCGGAAGAGCACCGAATTCCCAGAGGCTGTGCCATACGGGATTTGAGGAGTTTGTGACATTTTCTAATTGCTCCCGTACTAAAATGGGTGCTTAGCCTAAGCGCCCATATTGGGGCAAGAGCAATTCAGCACTAAGCTGGACTAAATGTGGCGCACTAGGGAGCGGCATTCTCGCCGACGCTAAAAGTGATTGCAAGGCGTGCTGGGCCCTAGTCTGATCTTGAGAGAATCTAGCACTAGGAGCCATGTCCTTTGGGGAGAGCGCGGCAGTCTTCAAGGCGCGAGCCAAAGACATTGGGGTGTCGGATGAGAGCTTCGCGAAGCTTGAGGCGGAAGGGTTGACAACGATGGCAACTTTTTCCTTCTGTTGTCATTTCAACCCGGCTGCGACAGATGCTTGTGCTCCGGGCTCTTGGCAGTAGCAGGCGAGGCAGTCATGACGGCCAAAGGGAGCTGGGGGGAAGCTGACTAAATAAAAAGAGCTGATTGAGAGGAAGGAAATTACAGAGTGTGCATGTCCGCGTGCGCTCATGACGCACTTGGCCTTGACGTGAGGCGGCCTGCGTCAACATGAAATTGACTACAGGCTTCTCACGCACGGGCGCCCTGCTTAGCCCTGAGGGCCGAGGTTGGGCCGGCATGCATCGCCTGAAGCGATGATGCTAACGAGTTCGTTGCAAGAAAAGCATGTAGACGTTTCGGGAAGGTGATTGAACCAAGGCCGCTGAGGCCCTCTCCGGAAGCTTGTAGTCGTCGCAAATCCACACCTGAGATCTCGCATCCGCGGGGTCCTCTGGGCAGAAGGCTCGGTAGTGCCCGGACGCTAGGGAGTCCCCAAAGTGGGCAACTCCTGCCAGGACTTGGTAGGATCGTTGGGCAGTGTGCTCGCTGGATGTCCACACGGACACCATGGCACGGCCGGTCCAGGCCTGGGTATTCTTGACCCCGTCTTGCCATCTGCAAATCACAACAGCTAGGAGTTCTGGGGCCCATACCAGCGCTCGACTAAAAGTTTGCGATTCCCAGAATCTTAGGCAGGCTTGGAGAGACAGAGGTCCCGTCGGAAGGGGAAGGAGAAGAGGACTGACTCCCACATCCGACTCCTCAACGATTCCCCCAGTACGACCCTGCCACTGAGTGTGCTGAAGGGATCCCATGGGCTTTTGCTGCAGATGGTGAAGAAATTCTGAGACATCGTGTTGCCTGCCATCCAGTCGCCAACCGGCAATGGCATGGCGAAATTCAAACAGGCCGAACAAGTTCAGAAGTCTAGGGGCACTCTCATCCCCGAAATGGGTTAAGACAGATTGAAAAGCACCCAGATCATACCCAAAGCTCGATACTTGATGCAAGGCCTGGAAGAGAGCGTTAGCGTAGCAGGAGTTTGCCGTGTTAGACAGTACACGTTTGTGTAAGCCTGTAGGCTGTGGCTCTGTGTTCCTGGGGGCCTGCGTCACAGACTCCTGGTTCGAGTCTGTTGTAGGATGACGAGCTGTGCTCGACGAGTTGGAGGCTGTGCCATTCGACCTAGGTCTAAAAAAGCTGGCCAACGACTTTGTCTGAGGCTTGGGAGGCGGGGCGACGGGATCGACGTCCGCTTCAGGCTGCCCTCGCAGCCACTGCGTGCTTACCTGATAGAGCACCGGACACTGCTCCGGATGCAGTCTGCGGTCATAGACCTTGTAGCCACAGAAGGGACATGAGTGGCCCGCCTGTGTAGGCGTGACCAGTCCTTAGGATGCGCCTGACGAAAGTGCGACTTGACTTTGGTGTGGTCAAAAGTCCAGAAGTCACACGTTAAGCACCGATGATTAAGGACCTTGGAATCCGCAGTCCTCGAGAGCTCCGCGATGCGGTGTTGTGGGAGCAGAGCAATGTCCTGTCTCAGCTGGAAGAGAGTCCTAATATCGGGATGGCTGGACTGTTTGTCTGCTTCTTTTAGTGAACGGAGCTTCTGAGGTTCCGGACATGCCCCCGAAAGCAAGTGGTCACGTAGGCCTTTCCATTGATGGAATTTACGCTTACATGCCGCACATTGCGGCATCCCATCCACAGCGTGGAGCTTTCTATCGAAGCTTGAAGGCACAAAGCGGTCAATGCTCGCCGGATGAACCCTCGACTTATGCAAATGTAGTCCATTTGCTGTCTCAAATGAAGCCGCGCAGAGCGTGCACTCGTATGAGGTTACCGGATGTTCCTCGGGCTCAGGGAGTTGTGACAGGACCAACAGCTTATCTCGGATAACCTGCAGAACCGAGGGGTCTGTCGTGATGTCCGGGCTTTGCACTGCTCGTCGCTCCAGTTTGCGAAGCCGCTTCCTTAGCTTGGACTGCAGTGCGTGGACAGGGTCCTGGATGTTGTAGAGCTGGAAGAGATCCTTAGTGGTGATCCGAGTGGTGTGAGCCGGCAGGTTCAGCACCGATCGTACCTTGTAGGCGTGCCAGCTGCGAAGCTGTTTGGCCGACTCTTCGCTTAAACCGACGTCAGATAGGCCAGTCGTCAAGGTGCTCAGGACAGTACTCTGCCACACCTTAAGGCGCGACATGGTACTTGCATACCTGCGGTTGTAGACGAATTGGCGAACTTGATGCAACTTTTGCTTCGCCTCCCCCATCCGAAAATGCAGAGTCTGCAACTCGAAGTGGTTGTAGGAGATCATAACTCCTAAGTACTTGCTTTGAGGAGACCCACTGGAAGGCAGGGAACGACTTGTTGGGCCCAATGCGCCACCCTCTGACTGGCTCTCCTTTGGGGTTGGTAATCCAGCAGCTGTGTTTGTTCATCACATTTTGTGCTTCTCTACCTGCCAGCTTTACCAAAATGACGCACTTGCCGATGTTGACTCTGAGACGATGTTTGCGGACCTCCTCCAACAGGGCAGCTATAAGTGCATGGATGGCCTTGAGGTCCTTCTCAGAACGAATAGTCCTATGAAGCGTCAGGTCATCGGCGTAGCCCGTCAAAAACTTCAGAACCTGTTCAGCACCGAACAGATCCACCAGAGACCGGAAGAGGTCACCTGTGAGGAACGAGAATAGGGTGGGAGCGAGCTTACATCCTTGTTTAATGCCTGCTGTGGTTTCGATAG